AACTAAACGTAACGTAACTAACTAACGTAACTAACGTACTAACGTACTAACTACTACTACTACGTACTACTACTACTACTACTACTCTACTACTACTACTCTCTCTCTCTCTCTCTCTCTCTCTCTCTCTCTCTCTCTCTCTCTCTCTCTCTCTCTCTCTCTCTCTCTCTCTCAGATTTCTATTTGACCTTCAATTGCTTGGACAAGGATATTAGTGGGATGAGAGACGGGAACTTACAGCAGGATTGGTGAAGATCAACAACTGTTTATCTGCGGTCGACACCACCAGATTCGTGTTGTCATTGTTCAGGGTCATGGCTGTGATATCTTGCCCGTCTTTTAATTCTAGTGTGTGAAATACCTGCAAGCCATGACATTGTTTTCAAACCCAAGAACTCGGGGAAACCAAAAAAATGAAAATGACAAGACAGATCTAATGTGGGGTCTCCAAACCTTCAATGTGTACATATCCACGAAGCAAATGGAAGGCACCAAAACACTTATTGTGTTTCGATCCTTTCCAGCCACTTGGGTGGGGAGTTCTACTCTTTGAAATTCTTGTTTTCCATCAATCGATGCATCAGTACTCTTTCTCTCTCTGACATCCGATCGTGAGGTAGTTCCAATAAGAGCAGTTTCCCCATCCACTGAAATCTCAATGCAACTGATGTCCCCCAAAAATGTTGAAGGGAAGAACGTTGAGGCAATAGGGATTCCATTAATGGTAAAGGTGCTCAGCTTTTTCTCCAACCTGTTCCATATAATTATCACCCCATCCGATGACAGAGACACTGCATGGGCTTCTAGAGCACCCAGTCTCCTCATCAGCCGACCCCTTCTAATGGAATGGAGAAGAACACCCGAGTCATGAGAACAAGAAACAACGATACCAAGGTCTGAATTGATACAACAACAAACCAACTCGCTACAATGGCCTCTTAACACTTGCATTGGGCCCTCAATGTGGTGCTTCCTGCTATGGTCATAAGTAGCAGTAGGACCCACACTTTTGGGGCTTGAAGTTGATGATGTGTTCATGGAAGAGTCTGCAAGGGTGCTAGAGAGAGAAGGGGAGGACCGATGCATACGCCAAACTATGGCAGTTGTGTCACGAGACCCAGTCACAAGAGTATTGCCGTCAGGAGAAAGTGAAAGGCAGGTAATAGGAGCGCAATGGCCTGATGCACTCTCGATTGTCTTGGCACCATCTGATGAGATCAACTTCACTGTGTTATCTGCATGCCCACCTGGACAAATAGGAAAGGGCCATTGACCAAAGTGAGAAGTTGATTGTAACTAGAAAACAAGATGACTGAACAAATTCATGAAAGAAAAGTGAAACATACACTTTATACCTTGCTGAGAAACCAAAGTGCCCCAAACTTCCATATATTGTCAATAATTATAAAGTCAAAAGTAAGTTGGCAGATATCTAAAACATCGATTCAGAATAAGCTACCCAAAAGTTACAAGAAAATAATGTTCCCATCTAAAATGGGAAAACATGTTACTGGCACCCAGACAGGCACTTCCTGATCAATGATCAAAATTATATAATTATCGTATTAACCATTAAAACAATAATACAAACCAGAACTATTTGTCCAAGAGAAAAAGAAAAACAATTCCAAGAAGAATGAATTCAAGAGGATAGTGGTTCAAATGACACCATGGCTCTTAAACTTACAAGCACTCTAATTCCTTGTTTCTATATGGATTTCCTTCTACTTTTTGCCCCATTATGAACAAATTTAGAGCGAGAGCAAAAACTTGAGAACAAATTTTACCAGTGATGACATATTTATCACTTGTGATGGCAACAACAGCTGAGCTTCTGATTCCGGAAGCTGCAAAGGCAAGTGCCCTAGGAAACTGCCATTCCTCAGAACCAGATCCAGGCTGCCCCTTGAACATGCGCATAAAAGCTCCACCACTGGAACTCCCTACACCTTTTCCATGTTGGAATAAGAATGGAGTGCCATGGCCATCTGGGGTATTTGGTTGCCATTTATGCAAAGCAACATGAGCAGCTGGAACATTTGCATCTACAGTAACGATAGAATCTGTTGAGGCAAATATAGAAGAAGCAGGCACATTGCAGCGCTCGGGATGAGGAACCTCATATGGTCTAATCTCTGTAGGATTTCGAAAGATGGTCTGGTATAAAAAACAAAACAAGCAGGAAGCGAGAAATCAGAACTAATTCCAATATAGATTTTTGACAGCTGACCAATATTAATGAAATCTCTGATACGAGAATCTCCCATTGGCCTCTTTCTTTATATGCTGTCCAATTTCCTACTTCCATTTTATATGCCATGTTTCATTCATGCAAAAGGTACCTGCAGATGTAGAACATCATTTAAAGGCTTCTTCTTCAGGTGTGGAACAGTAAGCAGTTGGGAAGGAGTTTGCCCAAAGTAAGCTATCTGGTCCTGTGTAGCCCGCTGCAACACCTTGATATCACAATCAAAGCCAGAACTCAATAACAGGGAACACAATCAAGACAATAGATAAAGAAGCAAATAGAGGAAATCTACATACTGGGTCCTCAATTTTATCGATGTCAACAGCTCCTTCATATGTAATGTAGAAAAACACATTATTGGCTGAAATTGCTTCTTTTCCTCTTTGTTTGTACCTGGAGATATTCACAATTACCATGAAAAAAAAAGATTAAACCAGCTCAAGAATATGTAAAAGAGAAAGATGAAATGATGAAGAATCATCTTTTACTTAGTTCATAAGCTATACGAAGTTGAAATACTTCAGAGATGAAACATTAGAACCACCATCAAACAGAGATTGATAGCATCCCAGTGACTTACCCGAATATAAGGTCAATCCATTCATGCAAGTGGGCAGAGACGTGCTCACTCTCTAGAGCCAGGCGATGTTTATGTACAAAATCGACTGGGCTTTTAGCCCAAGGTGGTAGCCTAACAGAATCTGAAATGATAAAATCAAGCAGATAATCATTAAATAGAACTGCCAATTTTCCTTGAAAATGACCAATGCAGTATTTTAGTTCTTCTGACATAAATCCAGACTATATAGGCACCTACCAAGTTTCCCTCCAAGTTGAGTCATGCCGAAATCAATATTGTTCTCATTTATTAAAGCCTCAGGAAGATAAAACAACTCTGGAACCTGAAATCAGATGCCACAAAACCACCAGAGAAATCAGTTGCTATACACAAAGAAAACTTTTAGGCAAAGTAAAAGGAAATAAGAAATGAAATTATTGAAGGTCAACTGAATGCATGCCAATTTTCACATTGCACAAGCTATTGAGAAACCAAAAATGACCCCTCAAGATCAGCAAGGATCTTACGAGCTCTTTCATGTCACTCATGTCCTCTAGAACACCTTTCCAAGTAGAGGCTATATCGGAAAACATTCGATCGGCATGATCAAATTTGCCACCTTGCAGTTGAATAGAAAGTGTAGTAAAGGGTTCCAAGCGAATGAGATAGTACAAAACCTGTATATAAACAGCATAGGCTGTGTTAGGAAAAAAGAATATATATTAAATCCAGGCTTCTTTCATTTTAGGGAACCATTAAAGCTTGGTGTACCAACCCATATGGGCAACACACGAATCTTGCATTCTTTTTAAATATGTCAGAAAACAAACACACAAGGGAAAATCACACATAACATGATACGAGTTTAAATTGTATCAATGTTATAATGGGCAGGTCTAGGCATGTGGTACCCAAGTTGAATGAGGTATAAAGACAATACATGCTACCTTTCATGATATATGATAATCTGAGAAATTGTCAAATTGTACACATACAATTACCCAAGAAACTGCAAGAGAAAAAATAGTACCATAGTCCAACAATCCTTTCATGATATATAAACATCTGAGAAATTGTACAAAAACAATTACCAAAGAAACTGCAAGAGAAAAAATAGTACCATTGTCCAACAATCCTACTTTGATAAACATCCACACCCACCATGGCATTAAGCAACATGCCTCATCACATTAAAAGTTAACAGCCACACAGAAATAGGCACAAACCACAGACTACATGCTAGTTTGACATCCAGTTAAGTTGTAAAAGAGAGGGGAAGGCCATTTTATCAGTGGCAGACATTGACCGCAAACGTCATATTGATTTGTATTTTACAATATGAACCAGAAACAATCAAATTGATGTAGTAAGCTGCACAAATCTTATGCCATATAACTCCCTGAAGATGTCTGGTGGTGATGTAAAGATAGAATTCTTACTGTTCCAGCACTGGAGTAATGTGAACCATAGTGAAATTTTGGGATAATGGGATCGTCAAAACTGGAGTATCGCTCTTGAAATTTTTCTAGACGATCAGCATTCAATGCGCCTATAGGCTGCAGCCATAGGTGATATTAAAGTAAGACATATATTGCATATTATCAGAAAGAGACAAGAAAAAAAAAAAACCATGGTTACTTTTGAAAGATCCCTGTAAGATGAAGGATCCCCAAGGTCCAGGTCCTCAGAGTGGTAATCGGCAAGAATCCAAGGAAAAACAGGATACTGAAGAAAACAAAAATTAAGCATTTAGATGATCATGTATTAGTACAGATTACCATATACAAAAGGAATAAACAATGAACCATTAAAACAAAAGCAAACCTGGGTGATGTCATTGTAACTACGCCCAGCTAGTGTGTTCAGTTCCATTAGATATTCAAAATTGCTGATCTGCATAGAATAGTGAATTTATTCATTGTTCTTATTATTATTTCTTGGGTAAATGGTAACATAGAATAATGAATTGGTTTAGTAAATCTATATTCGCAAATAGGGCACATTAGTTCAAAGACAAATTACTTTCCTATTTGATTTTATTATATTAGATCAGTCAGATTACCTCCCATCTAGCCCACCGTTCCATTAGTTGAGTTCTCTTGAGAAGCACGTCAGGTCTCTATAATAAACATCAACGATTAAAGATCAACTTTCCAATTAAGAAACGAGTCATATAACACATTTATAACACTGCTTTGGCAAAGCACTGACCTGTGTTGCTAAGTAGATGTTGTTTAAGTGAGGAGGCCGAGCTTGAACAATAGCTCGATAAGCATTTCTACGCCCCTCAGCACTCTGCAAAGTAAGAATTTTTATTGGGTAAGGTTTGTATAAGGTGTCAACCTTAAACAATCACTGTAAGGTACACCTTAAAATTTCATTAAAAGATGTATTTTTGGTGTCAAAATTCTTTTCATGGCCTAAAAATCTATTTTTCACCCCTACAATAAAATTGAAAGCTCCCAAAATGGTGCAAATCTAGCAAATCTATGAGCACTTGAAATTCTTGAAAATGGATAATCTAGATAATGTGTTACAAGATGCATTATTTTTAAGACTTGAAATTCGACTTTTCTTTCATATCCATGTGTATCGAGGTCAAGGTGATCAAATGGAGAATTTTCTAGTGACGAAACAACCTTTTTCGATGGGGTTTTTGAGGTGCACCTTACTTCTACAGTATAAGGTTGACACCTTATAGGAACTTTTTCCATTTTTATTTTAGGATTAGTTCTCCATGATATTATAATGTAATCAGTAGGAGTTGTGGGAGAAAAGAAAAAGGAGGAGTCCAGATAAATTACCCCAAAATCAAAGAAGAAGTTTGATTTGTCAACCATGAACAGTTCTAGCGCACTTCTCCTGAGAAGGTACCTGCATCAGACACAGGAAAAATTAAACAGAACCAACAAAGATCTGCTGGCTTATGAAAAAGTTATTGATGATCCATGAACATGAGATCATAGTGAATGCACCTTTCAAATAGAATATGAAAGAGAAAGGAGCATGCGATAAAAGAGTCCAAGTACGAAAGGGTTATAAGCAAGTGTAAAATCCCATGTTTACAATTTTTCTCTTCTTTTTTTGACAAATACATGTTACAAAATCATTACAACATAAAACTTTCAGTCTGACTTAGTGCATGTGTAATGGATCAGATTATATTGCGGCAAGTCTTAGAAGGTAAACATTCATAATAATTAAAGTCGAAGGGGTTCATTTTGGTTAGAGCTTGTCTCTGACAATGAACTGTTGGTTTTTGAGGAAGCTGTGATGCCCACTAAAAATTTTATCCTCTATGGTGCAGAAACTAAAGAAAAATTGTTAGCCAATGAGGTAGAAATGTTCCTTGCCAAGCAAGATAGAACAATGGCCATGCTAAACTAAGCATATGTTTATCAAAAGAATTTGGTGAGGTCAATACATGAGGGACAGCCAGAAAATCCAGTTAGTCAAAATGACTTCAATAATCCCACCATCTACTTTTTTCTATTCTTATAGGGCACATTGTCCAGTTTACATGCAAGAATAATATTTTGTTGGGATGCTGTTTACATATTGAATATGAGAGAGTATATAACTGGAAGGCTAGAGCAGAAGAAAGGGGGCAATTTTGAAAAACCTTGATGCTTTGAGTGTCTTAGCAGGATCTGTTGTTTCTGACTGTTATCATGAGTTTCTTGATGTGCATATACAGGAAAATATAAATACTTTTCTCCAAAGGAGAATAATGCGCTTCTTAAGGACAATACTGTCCAATTGGGGAACCACTGTGTGAGTGTGCGAATACTCATATATGCCCATTCGTTGGCAGACCTAGTATGCCACCATCAAACACATGGCCCAAATGGTATTTCTCCCCGAATTTTGGTGGTGGTCTTCAAAACACTAGATAAGCAACTTCAAAAGAAAGAAAATTCTTTCGATCACATTTAATTGCGGATCAGACAATACACCAAAACAAACGGCTGACATAAACCAAAATTTTCTTTCCTAAAAGGAACTTTTTTTTAACGATTTTTTGCACATTTTTTTTCATGGAGGTGGCTGTTAAGGTCAAGAGGGTATGCGTGCAAGAAATGGATTAAACAAATACAACTACCATATACACCTACCATAACCAACGGGGAGGGTGAGGTGGGGGTTTGGGGTTTATTTGGTGTGAGGGCAACCAAGAAGCTGATTCTCTCGCAAAGGAGGCTGCCTCAATAGCTCAGTATAACCTCCCCTATCTCTTTAGCTCCTACCTTGGGAGAATTTTTTGTACCTTGATCATTTTATCCCATTTGCTTGGTGATTTTTTTGTATAGGGTTACCCCTTCAAGGGTAGCCTTTATACTTTTGTATAACGCTCCCATTCTGTGGGAAGTTTTTTATGTATAGAGCTCTTGGTATGTGGGAAGCCTATTTTTTTGATCGATTCTACCTCTCTATACTCAATAGAATAGAGCAGTTAACACTTTCAAAAAATAAAAAACATAGTTGCTATCTTAAATTTTTGCATGTTAGTGTAAGGAAGATAGCTCAAATGCTATTGACTGAAGTACTACAGTACTTTGCTTGTGGGCTCCCAACCGTCCAATCTAAATCAAATGGTCGGGAAAGCGTAATACTATGAATTTCAATTTCATTTCTACAAATAACCAAACTACCCCCAGCATTTCAGGGGATTTTGGTCTTTTTTTTTCTTTTCTTTTTTTTGTGAGGGCTAGCCGCCCATGCCCCCATATTTCAGCCCAAACTGATTTACAAAAAAAAAATTGAAATTCATATGGTAACACATTCTCAACCATGGAGATCAGGCAATAGGAAGTAGCACCTCGCTCGTGCACATTTTTAATGCTTCTCATATATAAACACACTCTAAAAGGTCAAGGGGAAGGCCCAAAAGGACATGGATAGAAATAGTGAGAAAGATATGATGAATTTTGGTCTTACTGAGGATATGGCCCTTGATAGAGAAGAATGGAGAAACATGATTCATGTAGCCAACCCCAAATAATTAAGATAAGGCTTGGATGATGATGATGATGATAATGATATAAACACGTTATCAAATAGGAGGCACACATCATGAGGTTCATAGTGGAGAATAATGTAATCAAATGTAAGTTTGAAGTTGAAGAATAACAACAAAAGCTGTTATTCTCAACATTGACAAGAGCAAAAGAAAGAAACTTGGATTCTGATAGCCCTCACCGCCTGCTGAATACTTGATGAAGGGAAGAGATCGACCAGCTCCAACCTTTTTTTTTGTTTTTGTTCTCTTGCCTTTGGTCCAACCAATCCTCTCCTGAATTGCTGTCAACGTATGCTTCCACAATGAAGTTGATTCTCTTTGTAGATATCTGAGAAGCACATTAAAGCCATAGATATTCCACTAAGAAGGGGAAAGATAGAGATCGAAGGACCACTATATTGCATGAGAATTGTATAGCATGTCCATGAGATAGGGACCATCTCATGAGCAGAATAGCTTCCAAAGGAAAGGAAAACTATCAGAAAGCTATTTGAAAAATCTGAAATTAATAACTTGACACATATAACTTACTTGGAAGGTTCCACGAATAACATGCAATGGCCGAACCATGGAAGAAGAAACTTCAAGTATAATCCTTTCATCTACTTCACCAAGCACATATCCAGGTAGTAGGGCTGATCCACCATCTCCAAAACGTGCCTCGCCAGGTATTTCAGAATTACTTGACTCCGCTACACTATAGACATGTTTGTCAACAGTTTCAGAAAGCCTTTGCTGGCTGTTTCCCTCCATTTCTATGCCATACGCATTATCCTCAAAGTTCTCAGTCTCTATCCTTTCTTCATCCTCGTGGCCTTCCTCCAAAGAGATAGCTTCCGGAATAAAAATAGAAGCATTTGACGGCAAGTTTCCTGCAAATGATACATCTTTATCATTAGCATCAGAGACCACATTGTTTTCATCAGTTTTTAGTGGCTGTGGATGATCCTCATAGTTTGCAGATGCACCCCCATGATCAGACCCCTTATAGTTTCTTCTCAAACATCGCCGCATTCTTAGAGAATTCTCCATAAAATCTAACTTCCAGAAAACCTGCATAGCAAGGACAAAATCCTTTTCATGCTAGCACATTACAAGATAATTACGCAAAAAAATACTCACAAAGAAAGTAAGATCCAGAAACACAAGAAAATTTCATAAAATGGCTAAGGAATCTAACAAGTAACCATCTGATATTTCAACATACTTGATCACGACTACTTAGACTGCTCTTAAGAGGCCCAAAAAGAGCACTTATTTCCATTAAGCAGTGGACGACTTTGCACCATGCACCCACCCCAACACATGTTCTATGCCCATCCACCAAAGCAACTTGTGACCGCCTATCAATCTGCAAAGAGAACAGTCAACTTCTCAACCATCAAAGACGAATAGCTAAGACCAACAATACAGCAACATCAAATGCAAAAGGAAAATAAGTTCTGAGATACACAAACCTCCACTCGTTGAAGGTTCCTCGCTAAAGCAAATGTTGCTACTAGGACAGCAACATATTTATACGCAAGAGCTGAGTAATCTTTACCAGAAACTGATGTCGTATCAACAGATTGAAGGCATTCCAACCAAGCCGACGCCATGGCTTCAGACATGTTCCACCTTTTCACACGCTCAGTATCGCTTAGAGTCCTCCTTTGTGCTGATGTTGCCATGGCAACTGCACTGAGTCCTCTACCAGACCCAATCTTGGCATTGCGCTCAAGGTCACGAGCAGCAGCCAATGCAGCAGCCTTAGCAGCAGCCTTGTCCTTAGGAACAGGTGGGGTCTTAGCAGTTGGCTCAGAGGGTTTCTGGAAGCTTGCAAAATTGTGGAGCCTCCCAGTTTTGCGCTCAAGCACAAACGAGTCACGCCTAAGGGATGCATTTCTGGTAGGGGGAACAGTTTCACCACCTGCAGCTCCAGCAGCTATCATTGCCAGAGCCATGGCAGCTGGAGGGGAGGCAAAGGCAGCTGCCCAACCAGGAGATATCATTGCAATAGCAGCCTGAAATGAAGCAACTGAATGTGAATAACTACAACATAGAGAAAAGAGAACTCGAGTGATAAGCCTCAACACAAATTTTTGAAGAAGCACCAAGCACAAATATACTCAAGGTTGAACTACCTTCTCAAGATATGCCTTCACAGAAATAGAACTCCAAGATGATTATCACTTGGAAAATTTAAATGAACATGCAGACAGCAGTGAAAGGATTTGAGGAAGTTGTCAGGAAATATGTAAATGATGTCCTATACGGTGTGCTGAGTGCTAGAAATAAAGACTTCATTTGAGTAGCACTCAGGTTAATTAAATATGAGTGTTACAATGTACATACATAGATAGATGGATAGATAGATAGAGACGAGCGTGCACCAACCCATACACACAAGATAACAGTCACACACCCAGGGCAGACAGAGAAGAACAAATTAAGATAATTTCAAGTAACCTCAAGAGGCAGTGCATCTGCAGCCAAAGCACGGTCATCAACAATAAGAGGATTCAATCCATCCGAGGAGGTAAGCTCATGAATTCCTGCCAAAAGGGGCCTCCAACGCCTGAGAATGGCAACAAAAGGAGGTAATATTGCCTCCAGGTACTGCTTACGGAGGGTCTTTTTGTCCCTGCCAACTGCATGATACACCTACATCATAGAAATTACAGAATAAAGGTCGATTTTATAAAATAAATAGATCATCTCATTGTTTGACAAGATTAATAGATCAATCGCAGAGAGTATTTGTAGACACTTTAAATTCGCAACCATCCAGAAATGTGTCATGCAATAACAAATTCCAAAAGCAATCTCCAGACAAAAAAAAGCTGGCGATATATGTGGACGATGAAATAATAATTTAATCTTACTAAAACATACAAACATGCCCGACAACATTGTGAAATTGCACTATGGCAGTAATACAATGGCTAAACTACAAAGCCCAAACAATAGTCTTTGGCCACCCTGATAAGAGAATAATTTCTCCCACAATAATAAAGTAAAAAGGAAATTTAGATGCACATGCGACCATAACCTTAAAATATATATATATATATATATATATCCTTTTGGTAAAGGTAAAGTTCTAAAGCTATTTTATATAAAGATTACATCAGTAAACTCGAGGGAAAGGAAAGAGAATAGGCATCAGCACAATGCAGGTTCTGATGATATGTGAAAGTACAAAGATTTAACAAGACCAGAACTGCAGTGATGATAGTTAATTTCATCCCAAATTTTATGGAAAATGTCCTTCTAAGAACTTTCCCACATGTTTACATGTTTGTACAAAACCTATCCATGTTATTCTTGCATTTCCTGTCAGCCTTCAATTTGTTTACAATATGTTTAATTCTCTTGCAATTTTTGGCAAACTCTCACATCAGCTACCTGAATATTTCCTATGCCCCAATTTATAGCCACTATCCCACAGACCCAAACCCCATCTCCCGCATCTATTTGAACCATTTCATAAAACATTCCCCAACAATATAATGGAGGGATACGCTATTAGAGGGAAAAAAAGTCATCCATGAATTTTTAGGTAACACTAAGCATGATCTTTTTTTCTTAATAATGTTGAAAAAAAAAGATGTTGATGAGAGAGCATGAAATTTTTTTATTATATGGCTCACTTGGCTCCGTGGATATGCAAACTCAGGTTTTGGTCCATATCCTGGGAATGTAAATCCTAGAATATGCAAATCCTAGATACGTATGCAAAACCCCAATTTCGATCATCTGCTTACAAATCCTGTATTTGCGGTATCTTTCAATTCTCAAGTTAAAAAAGGTTTCCTAATGCTTCTCTTTTTTCTATATTCAGATATACCCAAGCTTTTGTAATAATTAAAAGGAAAATAATATACAAATACTACTTTGCAAGGGTAAGTAGTTTTTGACTGATCTTAATTCAATTTGGGAGTATTTATTTCAAAGTAACGTAATTTAGGATTCTTCCTATTGGAGATTAATTTAATTGTAGTTTCCATTAAAGATAAGATATAACTTTGTTCATTTTACGCAAAAAAAAATATCATTGGAATTTAAAGATAAACCCCAATGTAATCATCAAAATGGAAAATCAATTTGCAATGTCCAAGGATTTACTACAACCATGGCATTTTGATTGAGAAAGAAATTTCTCCCACAATTCTTACTAACCATGGACCAAAATCCCACTTTCAACCCAATACTAACTACTAAGGAGCCGTTTGGATACCCGTATTTCTATTACGGGGAAATAGATTACGAGGAAATATGTCATTTCCAGTGTTTGGGTACCTACGTTACGTAGTGGGCAGAAAATAAAACACATTACCAAAACATTTCCTCCATAATCATGAAATCTATTACCCACCCCAATAGCTAAAAAATGTATTACTAAAAAAGACAAGTAATATCAAACCCCCAACAGACCCGCTAGAAAATATTAAGTACACTTCATAAATTTGAGGTCCGCATCGCGCTATCTTCCACCTCTCTCTCGCTGAAAAACTTTGTTCATTGTGTCTGCAATAACATGGCTTCGTACTACATCCCTCAACTTGGCACCTTGGTGGTTGCCCATTTTGGCTTGAAACTCTAGTTTTTCAACTACTACTTGGATTTCCATTTTTGGGTGGTTTCTTAGCCGAATTTCCAGAACCCACATCTTCAAAGTAGATCCACTTTCTGAACGTTAGCCCATTCATGGTCTCACACTCCATTTCTTTGTCTCTCTAAAACTGTCGCTCTCTCTCTAGTTTGGAGACTGGTTATGTTGATGCATCCACCTTTCTAACCATAATTGCTCAAAATTTACAACCTTTATTGATGTCATCTCTTGTTTTGAGGGGGAAAGTAAACAAAGCAAGGAAAGCATGCCTAAAATCATACATTCTTTCAAGGAAAAATGTGAAATTTGTGGGGGCTAAGGGATCAACACCGCTGGTGGAGGTGGTATTACAGTCACTGGTGAGGCAGCACTGGAGGAGAGAGAAGAGGCGCAGGTGGTGGGAGCACCAAAACTGGGGGAGGAGAGAGAACAGGCACTGGGGGTGGTAGGTCAAGCAGTGGTAGAGGAGTGAGAATAGGCATTGGCGGTGGAAATATTGGGAGTGGACGAGAAGAGAGAAAAGGTACATGCGGTGAAAGTATTGGGAATGGGAAAATGTGATTTTTTGAGTAAGTGTAGTAGTAGTAGTAGGGTGGGAATTTTATTGGGTTACTATGGGTTTACATTTTAATGTTTTTTTATGTACATTCAAACTTGCTAGGTAACTGTTGCCGGATAAAATTAACCCGGATATTACCTTCAGATATTAGTAAACAAAGTAGTTTTAATTGATGGGTTATGCTAGGGTGTTCACACTATGGAGTAATTTATCATTGTACTCAACAATTTTGGATACTTACATACCCTTGTTTTGTACATGGAGCATTTTTTTAATAAAGGTATTTTTGGTCATTAGGAAGGGTGTGACATCATCCACATGGGGTATGATGTCACCCACGTGGAGCACAATAGTGGCATTTAATGCTCATGTGGGTGATGTCACACCTCTCCAAATGACCAAAAATACCCTTATTAAAAAATTGCTCCATGTACAAAACAAGAGTATATAAGTGTCCAAAATTGTTGAGTACAATGATAAATTACTCCATAGTGTGAGAACCTTAACATAACCATTAATTGATATTTTATTCTAAAAAGAAATAAAAAAGTATTAAAACACCACATTACTATAGATAAAATTAACACAGCATTTTCTAGCCAAAGTATCGGTAATGCATCTTCCATATTTCTTCAGATATAGCCAAACAATAGCAATGTATTTCCCAGGTTGAATCTAGATACTACCCAAACAAAGTAAAAATCTATTTGCAGGTAATGTATTGCACAAGTAATATATTTTCCTGACAATACATTTCTAGGTACCCAAACAACCCCTAAGGTTTGGCAACTTAAATCAATTAATCAAGTCAGAGATTAGAAGCATGCACAAAAAGGATAGTCTATAAATTCCAATAAAACGGGATGATAACTCATCATCATTATCCCAATGATTTGGGGTCGGCTACGTGAATCTTGTTCCTCAACTCATCTCTTGTATGATTCATGATAAGATGTGACAAAGTTTTACGCTGACTGCCTGCCTAACGCAACCCACCTCCTTTACCAGGGCTTGGGATAGTTTAAGGGAAAGTTTATGGTCCTCAACCATAGTAGACTAAAAGCAGGATGATAACTGACAGATGAAAATCTAAATCGACATAGGGGGGCATGCACCACAATGGAACATGCTTGCATTTGCAAACCCACATTTTGCCAAATCCAACTTCTTTTTATTTAGCATACCCATTTTTTTAGGGATTTTGGAGATATCAACGTCTTGGTTAGAGACTTAAAAGAAAAAATCCAATGCTCGTTTCTGTCACATATCCTGGAAATGCATAACATGGGTTTGCATATCCTAGGATCCAAATGACCCATGAAAAGTATAATGAAAGCATTTTTTTTTAATGTCCTCTCAAAATTCCAATAAAGACAAAGTCATTAATAAAGATAATTCCCCTAAGCCAGAATTGACTAGTTCAAATAATCCTGAAAGAACAAGAAAAGAATAAACGTTTTTACAACAAAAACGACAAAGAAATCACTTGATTCGAAAAAGATATGGAAAATCACACATACAAACTGCATTACAAAAAACAAGACCAAATTGCAATCTATGCCCACTCAAACTACAAGGAAGAGGTTTGGAGTGGATGCTAGCTGACTCTCTTGAACATCAAATCAACTGGCCGGCTCTCTCACCGGGGAAAGATATGACAGGAATAACAATTTCACATGGCGCATATCTTTTTTGTAGATCATATACACCAACGCTGCTAAGACCAGGCTGGTTATCAAACCAGTGAAGGCACCTATCCAGTCGCTTGGGCCTAACCAAACTGGTTCACCAATCAGACCAGTCAAGTAAAAAAATATGAAAATAGGAAAAATACAAATTTTGGGGGAAAAAGTATGGAAAATTATGGAAAATAAAGTTGTAAACTACAAAGATGAAAATACAAAAAAGAAGAAAATGATTTCCAAATTCAATTTTCCGAAAATACAAAGAGGGAAAAATGATTTCCAAAATTCAATTTTTCCCATGAATGCATTTAGTAATTAAACAACCAACAAAGAGATAAAAAATCAATTTTTATATCAAATTAAAAAACCAAAAATGCACAATATTATAAGTAGAAAACAAACTGTACATGAGCACAATCCATATTTCAATTCAATCATTAAATAATTAAAAATAAAACAATACAAGTAATTTAAAAAACCAAAAAAAAACATTTGTATAAATACAAATGCGCAAAATCCATAAAACAGGCAAATACCTACAATATTTAACAATTAAAGCACAAAACAACTTTTAGAATGAATGCAAGAAACAACCCATTGCAGTTCATTGAAAACGGAAAGACTTCACTATTTGTAAAAGCCCTTAAAAAAGGCCAATTTTTCAAATTTTCTAAAAGTTATTTAATATAAAACAAACAAGTCAAAGAATAAATCAAATACACTAACTTGGGGATTGAAATCTTCGGATTGAGTAGCCGGAACAACCTATGAAAGTTGCCAATTGATCACAAACATTTAGGGCTTT